CAGGTGTCTGTAAAACTTTATTCTCCGGTGGCTGGGGATTTTTCACACGCCTCTGTGGAGAGAGAGAGAGAGAGAGAGAGAGAGGTGTCCCTAATTCGGGTAGTCCTTCATCCACTTGCTTTTTTGAATAGTACTTTATTGTTTGTTGCATCATGTATTGTAATGATGGATTATTAATTTATGATGTATCTGATTATACTTTATTACCTTACTCCATGTGCTTTTCATTGCAATCTTTGTCCCCGGTGGAGATGCCATTGCACGCCTGTCTGTGGGTAGATGTCTGCCTCGTGGCCATTTATAGCATCATCTGGGTGCTTTTTCTCTTTGCTTGAGCTTCCGACAGGGTAGGGATATAAGCGGGAAGTGTGTCTGCAAGTAAAGGGTGTCACTCATTCTGGTGGCCTCTTATGTTCTTCATGGATGTGTTTGCACGGCAATCCTTAGCGCTCACGGGAAGGTTTCACTTCACGTGTCCCTGGGAGCAGGGTTGTTTCTAGAAGGGATGGCTATGAGTATCTTCCTCCAGGTGTTTTCACTGTAATCTTATTTTCCACTGATGCGAGGGTTGAACTGCACATGTGCCCATGTAGGTGGTGTAAGGGTGGAGGGGCCATAAGTGCCCCTAAGGTATGTGTGTGGAGATGCCACTAGTGCCTGTGGTAGGATTGGAAGAAGAGGCACCACTAGGGCCCATTGGGGGAGTAGAGGAGGAGGTGCAACTAGTGCCCATGGGGGGTAGAGGTGTCACTAATTTTCCCATTTCCTTGCCCTCTAGGAAAAGATGGCTGATTTCTCTGCTCACCACAACCAGAGCCAGTCTGCACTCACCCCCACCAACGGGACGTTGGTACTGTTCCTGAGCTTGCAGCTGGTACACCAGCTGAAGGAGCTGATCATCCTGCTGTATGCAGCCGTGGCGGTGGTGGGCATGGTGGGGAACTGCTTGCTGGTGCACGTCATTGTGCAGGTGAAGAAGATGCACAATGTCACCAACTTCCTGGTCGGGAACCTGGCCCTGTCAGACGTGGCCATGTGCGCCACCTGCATCCCACTCACCCTGGCCTACATCTTCGAGCCCCGCGGCTGGATCTTCGGCAGCACCAGGTGCTACTTCATCTTCTTCATGCAGCCTGTCACCGTCTACGTGTCTGTCTTCACTCTGGCCACCATTGTTGCGGACTGTTACATTGCCATTGTGCATCCACTGCGGCGCCGCATCTCGCTGCAGCTGGGTGCCTACGTGGTGCTCTTCATCTGGATCCTTTCTGGCTGCCTGGCACTGCCAGCCATGGCTCACACCTACTACGTGGAACTCGGCCAGCAGGAGATCACTCTGTGCGAGGAGTTCTGGGGGGAACAAGAGCACCAGCGTCAGACCTATGTGCTCTTCCTGCTGCTTATCACCTACCTCTGCCCCCTGCTAGCCATCCTGGTCTCCTACACCAAGATCTCCCTCAAGCTCAAGAACAGGGTCATGCCTGGTACTATCACTCAGATTCAGGCCAACTGGGACAGAGCCAGGCACAAGAGGACCTTCTGCCTGCTGGTTGTAGTAGGGGTGGTCTTTGGGGTGTGCTGGCTGCCCTTACATACCTTCAACCTCATCCGGGACATCAACATCAATGCCATGGATGCCTATTATTTTAGCCTTGTCCAGCTGCTGTGCCACTGGTTTGCTATGAGCTCCGCCTGCTACAACCCCTTCATATATGCCTGGCTGCATGGTAGCTTTAGGGAGGAGCTAAAGAAGTTATTGGTCTGGCACAGAAAAGTGGCTCCTTATAGGTAAAGCATGACAGTGAGTGTTGTCATCTGACCTGCTGCCCAGCGGCTCCTCTTGGAGGGTCACTGACCTACACTGAGCTCCCACAGTATATTGGCTCAAGTTGCAAACTAAAACAATAAGATGTGCCATCCAAATGCCTCCAATCCTGTGCCAGGCACAATTTGCCTCATTCCACTTTGAAAGCTATGGACATCTGTTCTGTTTAAAGAATATATGTCTCTAGGTGAAACATGTTCGCTGCAGACTGTTCCTTTAGAGGGGCTAGCCCAAGAGAGCGGGATTGGGGTGTATGCGTGTGTCAGAGTGAATTCATTTTTTAGTTTTAAAAATACTTAGTTAAAATACATTAAACACATTCATAGATATTTGTTTTGAAAGTCAGTGGAAACTATCTTCCCCTTCCTACCTCCTCTCCTGGGTTAATCTGGGTTATAGTTTATAAAGGAAATGGATGCAAGGGACATTTTAGTGATATGTTTCAAAAATTCTCTGAAAAGAAGATTCAGTAAATAAGGAGAGATGCCCACTCGGAGAGATGCTGTGTATCTGCAGCTTCCACTGTAGATGCACAGAGCCTCTCAGAACTTGGTGTATACCATTATACAATCGGTAATGACTATATTGGGGGTGTTCCTATAGATTTCTTTTTTAAAAAAAATCTGGAAATGTTAGTGGTCAACATGTTTTCCTATTTTGTGCAATTAGAAAGATTCCTTTGTAAACTTCAAGGGATTTTATAATTTGTCTGTTTTTTGTTTTAAAACAAAAAACAATCAGTGCCCTAAATGGTCCTGCTGTAGGTAAGAACAGAGAAGGTGAACAATGAAGGCTGGGGAAGGGGTGGAGGAAATAATATAAAAAAGAGCAACATTGTCCTTGGTGGAGCTCCCAATTAAGCCATCTGATGTAGAACATATTTCATGGACTATATTCTGCAGCTAGATGTGTAATGTTACACAGATGTGCCCAGCTGTGATAAGTGTTTCATTTTATATTTTAGCTACCCAGAAAAGTGGAGTAAGGACTGACATACAAAATGTACAAATTAAACAGCACCAACCAAAAGATGAATAAAAAACACCTTTAAAAAGAGCATATGGTGAAAAGTAAAGAGAACTGCTTCTATTTGGGTTCACCCCCATCTTATTAGAAATTTACAGACGTAAATATTGAAGTCTATAGCTGGAGCAACTGTTCCTCATGACCAGCTGTTGAAATTACACCATGTGTCATTATCAACACAAGCCTGTCTCTCCATCTATCTAGGTTCCTATCACATTCCCCATCACCACAGTGTCTGAGCATCTATGGTGATTAGCATAATCATTTTTTAGAAGACAGCAGCAGGAAGTTATTGTGAATTAATGGATATGCAAGGAGTCAGAATATGCAGGATAGCAATGGGAAACTTAAGTCACATTCACTCCCTGATCAGGCTCTTTATTTTCATGGCTGCATAGTGGGATATTACTTTTGGTTGGGAACAGATGGACACAGTGCCTTAGCCAACACTGAATGTCTAGGCACATAGCAGTCACATGCTTTCTGAGGTTTTTGCAACAGATGATTTCAACATTTGTCAACACATTTTGTTGTGTGGAACATAGTGCTCACCAAAGGTGCTGAATTCTGAGTACTGGAGACTCAGGTCTTATTCTTCAAACAGGTCCAGCAGAGGCTAGGGCACTGGATATCTGGAAGGACTATCTGGCCAGTATTGCTAGCTGTGCCACCAACCTGCTGGGCAAGTCACTTTCACCTCCACATCTGTTTTCTTCCTATTTAAAACAATTTTCTGCCCTCTTTAAGATCTAAGGATAAAAAGTGTAGTAGTACTATTAGTTCAGTCTGCAGGTCCCTACCAATACTTGACCTCATGCTGAGACTGCCTCCAAAGGTCCAACTGATTGTCAGTTGTGGTGGTGCTTTTTAGTACACCTGCCCACTGGGAACTAGTCTGAGACCACCAATGTATTTGACATATGCTATTGAAGAGTGATCAGAGTATTAACTCCAGACTTCCTTGCCCCTGTTAGATATGTACCATTGAACTGGCGGTGAAAGAGTCCATAACCCGTCACTAATTCCCTGTGTATTCTTTTCCCTAGTCTGTCTTTTTTTTTTCTTAATTAAGCAGTAATCTCTGTTATGGCATGAACTGTCATCTCATTCACATCAAATGTGTTCGCTATTTTATCTAGGTGTGAATCAGTACAACAGACATCTAAAACTCTTTGTGGGTTTATAAACTGTAATTTAAATATGGGAATTGTTAATTAACCGAAGAGACTCCGATTGTGAGCTGGATCTGAAATCAACAAGGCTGGACTTGTCACTGTTACAGGATGCATGGATCCCATGATTTTCATGCTTTTTAAAATAAAAAAGAACCATGGCTTTTGGCATCTCTGTTTCCTTGTTTGTTTCGCTGGTGGCAAGTTGATGGGTGGGTAATCATCTGAACAAAGGTCACTACTTGGTTAAACTGTAACTATAGTCTGCATGATGAGCAGGAACTCAGAGTAACACTGGGGACAAAGGACTAGAGAATTGGACTGTTAGTGAAAGACTTAATTCTCGAAGAGGTCATGGGATGCCATACTGGAAAAATCATGGGATCAGGAAAATTGGTGATTCCATAGTTCTAGGGCAAACTTTTAAAACCAGCCTCTGTTTTGCTACCTATAGTTAACTGATGCCAATATGGTTTCATACTGGATCAGACTGCACAATCTCGAATGCCCACCTGAAATTTTATCAAAATTAGCTACATCTTTGGAGAGGTTTGCAAGATCTTCACTTCCCACCTGCAAATCTCCTTACTAGCTGAAGAACTTGTTGGGAACTGGGCATTTCTGTCTTGGGCATCCTTAGATCAGTGGCTGAAACTGGAGCTGCATGGCAGGACCAGGCAAGATGGGAGGCAGGGGAAAGCTGCAGAGGAGAGTCCAGAGTGGAGCTGGGTCGGGAAGACGGAGAAAACCTGGAGCCCAGAATGTGGCGGTGCCGGAAGGGGCTCCAGTGGAGCCTGGGGCTGGAGGAAGCCGAGGCAGACACAGAGTACAGTGTCCATAGCAAAGCTGCACGGCTGGCAGGGGGAGGCTGGTGGCTTGTTCCTGTTACCACCCTTGGCCCTTTGCCAATCCCAAATCCTGAACTTGGTTTACAACTTGTGGGATTCGATAAATACTCCGCGTGGGTTGATCTGTGAGATTTAAATTCCACTTGGCATGTACCTCTCAGCACCTCTCCTTCTGCTGGTCCTGGCAGGGGTGATGTGACTTGTTCTCCCCCAGGGATGGGGAGCTGCCATTCTAGCCCCACTCGTCTCATTGCCTTGGGCCCCTCCCACTGCCAACCTCTCACATTCTCCCTCTTTACTCCATCAGATGTTCCTGTCCCTCACCTTCCCTCTGCACTCACTTGTGCTCCCTTCCCCCTCCCATTCCTACTCCTTCTCCTCTGCCCCTCTCAGCGCCTGTTCTGGACCCACATTCTCTTGCATTCTCCTCTGTCTTCTCCCACACCAAGCTCCCCAATCCCCCCTTGTTTACCACCTTCCCTCCACATTCCTCAGCACACTCCCCAGTCTTCCTCTTGCCCTGCAGAACCCCCATGACCTTGCTACTGTTTCATACTCTCCAATTCCCTCTCTCTGACAACCTCCTCCTGCCCCCTCTATCCCCTGCACATCCTCCTCTCTCCCTTCTGAACCCCCATATGATCTCATGTTTGCGCTGTTTGTAGTCTAGGTTACATAATGTGATTGTGTTATCAAAATGTAAGTGTAATGAGTACTTAAAAGAGAGACATTTACAGTTTATCAAATGTAGTACAGTTTGTCCATTGCTATGTACAGATGTTACTGGGAATGGTACGCAAGGTCTGGCTGTAATTAGTTTCCTAAATGACTCTCAGTTCAATAGATGGTGGTGAAAAGGACCTTTGATGGGATACAAGTGACAGAATCAAAATAATAACATGTAATCTCTTTAAAAGGAACATGAAACTTTAAGGGCATGCATGGAGTCTTTGTATTAATGCATTTTGGTATATTTGTGTTTTTAAGGGAGCTTGGGAGACCCAAATGTTCTTTGTGCCCAGGCCCCAGTTATTCTTAATCTGCCTCCGTTCCCACCCCTTTCTCTTACTGTTCTTGGCACAATGGGGTCTTGATCTCAGTTGGGGCCTCTATTACTAAATAAGTATTAATAAATAACTTCTCAGTTCTGAAGATTAGCAGAAGTTCAGGTTTTATATCCAAAATTACTTATGCATCTATCTATAATTTTGAGTTAATAATAAACAGTGCATCATCAACAAGTTGCTGCTTAGTGTTATCATCTGTGGCTGCAAACAAAAATGTTCTTTAAGAGGCAACGCTTGTTTTCTTCACTGCAGTGACCAAAGCCTCCTGTGCAGTTCAGTCAGAGCAATTGTGCTTTGCAATGGGGGTTGGCTTGATGGGCCAGATGTGGGGGAGCGAAACCCTCCTGTATACAGTCCCTTGTCTGGCAATGTGTAGGAGACAGTGAGGGGGTGGAGCATGAGCCACAGATCCTCCAATTCCTCCCTCAACAGAAGTGTCACCTACAAACTACTGCAGTGATTGGGCTGAAGTATCTTCATGGAGTGGCCGTACAATCTTTGAAGAAGAGTCCTCTGCCCTGCTCATCTCTCCAGCATGTGCCCCAGTTACCATGACCAGGTGCCAAGAATTGAAGCATGAGAAATTTAAGGTGCAATGAAAGGACACCTGACAAAATGTCATGGGATGCTGTTCTGGGAAGAAAGACTGCTAAGCAAAGATGGGGTCCATCTATCGAGGAAGGGGGAGAGCATATTTGGATACAGACTGGCTAACCTAGTGAGGAGGGCTTTAAAATTAGTTTTCATGGGGGGCAGGTGACAAAAGTCCACAGGTAAGTCCAAAACATGGAGACCTGGGAGAAGGGTTGGAGTCTGGAGGAGCATGGGCTGTTATAGCAGGGATAAGGGAGAGACAAGAGAGAACATAAGGGGAAAATCAAATCAGTATCTTAATGTCTGTATGCTAATGTGAGAAGTATGGAGAATAAGCAGGAAGAACTTGAAATGCTAGTTAATAAACACAACTAGGACACAGCTGGCATCACAGAGACTTGGTGGGATAATACGCATGACTGGAATATTGGTATAGAAGGGTACATCTTGCTCAGGAAGGACAGGCAGGGAAAAAATGTTGCTTTATAAATTAAAAATGTATACACTTTGACTGAGTTTAAGATGGAAATAGGAGACAGAGTTGTTGAAAGTCTCTGCATAAGGATAAAAGGGGCAAAAACCAAGGGTGATATCATGGTAAGGGTATACTACAGACCACCTAAACAGGAAGAAGAGATGGATGAAGCTTTTTTTAAACAACAAACAAAAGCATCTAAAGCACAGGACTTGGTGGTGATGGGGGACTTCAACTACCTAGACATGGACAATAATACAGCAAGGCACAGATTATCCAAGTTCTTGGAATGTATTGGAGAGAATTTTTTAGTTCAGAAGGTGGAGAAAGCTACTAGGGGAAAGGCTATTC